CTCTCTGGACTCTGGGACCGCAAAAGATGGGTGCCCTGAAGAGAGGACCTCAGAATTTTCTAAGTCCAAATATGCAGCAGGATGATCACTCCCTTACTTTCTTAGTTTTTTCTCCCCAAACAGAGGCAGCCCCAACCTCTGGTGGTGCCAGCTCTGGGTAAAGGCCAAATTCCAGGAGGAAGTGACTTCTCAGAGACCAGGCCCTAGCCCACAGGAACGTAGCCAGAGACTCAGGCTTTCCGTTCAAGCAAGATGGCATTGGTTAACTATTTCAGTGTGAATTCTTAGAAAATCCTATGGGCTGGAACTGGGCGCGGTGGCTCATGCTTGTCATCCCAGCACTTTGGGAGGCCAAGGTGGGCAGATCACGAGGTCAAGAGATTGAGACCATCCTGGCCAACATGGTGAAACACTGTCTCTACTAAAAATACAAAAATTAGCCGGGCATGGTGGCGCGCGCCTGTGGTCCCAGCTACTCGGGTGGCTGAGGTGGAAGAATTGCTTGAACTTGGGAGGTGGAGGTTGCAGGGAGCCAAGATTGTGCCACTGCACTCCAGCCTGGCGACAGAGCAAGACTCTGTCTCAAAAAAAAAAAAAAAAAAAAAAAAAAAAAAAAAAAATCCTATGGGTTGGAATGCTGGCAAAATCGGCCTGTGCTAAGCGTCACCCAGAGTGGTTGGATTCAGGTGTTCAGGCACAGTTAGTCTCTGAGCTCCTCAAGGGCAGGCGTGACCTTAATCTAGCACTGCACTGCTGGTCCCCCACACAGAGCCGGACGCAGAGCAGGTGTGCACTAACTCTGCTGTGATGAAATCAGCAAATTCCATTTACAGAACACGTGCTCCCGGTGCGTGGTAAGCCCTTTACGCATTGTCTCCATTCATCTGCACAACAATTCTGTGAAGCAGATGTTCTATCCCCATTCTGCAGAGGAGGAAATGGAGGTTCGGAGAAAGGTAATTTGCCCAGGGTCATGCAGCCAGTGAAAGTCAAGGCCTCTCCAAGCGGAAATCCCTCCCAATATTAAAACAGTGGTCAGAAATGACAGCTGCTGTTTTGGGGCCAATAGATTAATGTCCCTCCCTTGAAGTACTGGTTCCCCACTCCCAGCCTCTCTGCGGCCCAGGCTGTCTCCTCCACCCCTCGCGGCCCTGGCCTTGCATGAGTTTGGTCGTCTCTACTTTCTGGGTTCTCCTCCTGCCTCTCTGATGGCTGTCCTCCTTCCATTTCCTAAAGGCAGGTGCTCCCCGACACTTCTTGGAGCTCTCTCTCTCCGTTGATGCCCTTTCTCCGGGTTTGCCTCTCAACTCTGCATGCCCAGCTCAGGCCTCTCCCAGAATGTCCAGATCCACCCAGCCCCTGAGGACTGCTGCTACTTACTCCTCCCAGGATGCAGGTCCGGCTCTGAAACCTTCAATGGCTCCCCAGGGTCCATCAGAGGAACAGCAAACTCCTCCTCAAGGCATTCAAGACTCTAGCACGCCTGTCCTCAATTCACTCCCAATTCAGAGCCTTCATCCATCTGTGCTCAGAGCCTTTATCCCGCTGTCTCTTCCTCATGGCTGCCCTCCCTTCCCCTGCTGCTCACGGGAACTCTAACTTCCTGGTCCATGGCACATGCTCCTTGTCCATGAAGTCCTTCCTGACCCCGTTTCCCAGGTAGGTGTGGTTCTCCCTCTTCAGGAGACTCCTTGGAGAGCCCACCCCAGCATTCCCTGGGCAAAACCTACTTCCGTGCTTGGTTCAACTCTCCGTCTACACTGGATGAGAAAGGAAACTCCACGAGGCATCAGGGGACAGTGGCCGTTCTACAGCATTTCACTTCTTTGTCTAAGAGTCTCCCCAAATGCGGAATGAAGTGGTGGAACTGGACCAGCATTTTCCCAATTTCTGTCATTCAAGTGCCACCACTGTCACCTTCTTCTTGTACTACGGGTGCTATCATACACTTACTCTTTATCTACTCTTTTTTTTAAAAGAAGATAAATAAGAAGGAAGCCTCACATTACTTACTATGAGTGGAAAGCCAACGCGACTTTTAACAAAAGCTGCAATCGTGAAAAGGTCATCATGAACATAAACAGAACTGACAAAATAAGGAATGTCTTCGTGATGCCTACAACCTTCCCGTGCAGAATTCTGGGAAACAGTCCGCTAGACCGTTGGAGGCTTTGTCTAAGAGAAATAAAGCTGGGCACTAGCTAAGACGGCAAGGACAGGATTTAATCAGTCATAACTATTGCGGAAGGGAAAACAATCTAGTATGAACTGAACTCAACATTGATTCATGCAAAAGTAACAGGGCGTTTTGAAAAGGGGACGAGGGAACAGGGAGAAAGACAAGCAGCAAGTCTAACAGAATCGGGGAAGTGAGAAATGACAAAGGGTTTTTCAGTGGACGTGACAGTAGACCAGCTGTGTCTGCTGGCTGCCAATGATCACAGTTAGGGTGCCATCCTCCCACAGAGACTGGGAGACAGAGATTCTAACCTCAGGTGTTGGATGAAACCAAAAAGCAGTAAATAATTTGGCAGCCTTGAGTTTTCTCAGACAGGCACTTTAAGAGCAGGTGTTGGGGCCAGGGTTGCCTTAGGTAGGGGCCCCCAACCCCTGGGCTGCAGACCAGTACTGGTCTGTGGCCTGTTGGAAACCAAGCAGTGGCATTAGATTCTCACAGGAGCTCAAACCCCGCTGTGAACCGCATGTGCATGGGATCTAGGTTGCATGCTCCTTATAAGCATCCAACGCCTGATGATCTGAGGTGGAACACTGTCAGCCCCCATTTTTTTTTTTTTTTTTTTTTTTTTGAGATGGAGTCTTGCTCTGTCGCCCAGGCTGGTGTGCAGTGGCACACTCTCAGCTCACTACGACCTCTGCCTCCTGGCTTTAAGCAGTTCTCTTGTGTCAGCCTCCTGAGTAGCTGGGATTACAGGCGTATGCCACCACACCTGGCTAATTTTTGTATTTTTAGTAGAGATGGCGTTTCACCATGTTGGCCGGGCTGGTCTTGAACTCCTGGCCTCAAGTGATCTGCCCACCTTGGTCTCCCAAAGTGCTGGGATTACAGGTATGAACCCCCACACCAGGCCTTAATCCCAGAATTACTGCCCACCCTTACCACCCTGTCCATGACAAAACCGTCTTCCGTGAAACTGGTCTCTGGTGCCAAAAAGCCAGGGAACTGGTGATCTTAGGGATACGACCCTGAGTTAACAGAAACTGTGCCGCTGTCTGTTCAGTCTTTACAGGCCAAGACGGAAGCCTAGTTAAGAAGGCTCAGAGGAGCCCGGCTAGGTTCCATCAAGAAGAGAATCATTATCAGCTCCTTTACCTTAGCCGCCACCCGCACCCCCCAAAAAAGCATCAGCATTGTGACTATGTGGCAGGTGTTTCACAAAGTTATGAAGCCGTTACAATGAATATCATCCTCGTTACAAGGCTGAGAAAACTGAGGCTCAGAAAGGTGTGGCCAAGTGCCACAGCCAGAAGTAGCAGTGCTGGGACATGAACCCAGGTCTGGGTGTCGCTGGCTCCAGAATCCCCACCATCCAAAACGCACAGCTCCATTCTACGTGTCTAGGCTCTGTCTTCGAGCCATCCCTCTCCTGCGCATGCCCATTGGATGAATGCCACTGGTCCAGAGCACTGAATCTGGACAAGTATGTGGCACTGGGCAGTGGATCTCAGCTCTGGCTGCACCCTGGAGCCACCTGGGGAGCTTAAAAAGTACTGATGCCTGGGCCCCATCCCCAGAAGCTCTAAAGTAACAGGTCTGGGGTGCAGCCCACAGGGATTTTTAGAAGATCCCAGGTGATCTCTTTCAGGGGCCAGGTTTGAGACCCACTGTGCTAGGAGCCTTCGCAGCCAGCCCATCTGGTCCTTGCAGGAGCCTTCTGAGAAGGGCAGGCAAAGGCAACGCCCACGTCTGGCTGATGAAGAAAAGGGTTGAGAGGCTGAGGCTCAGATGGTAAGATGTGGACAAAAGCAAAATTCCTGACCTCCAGCTCTGAGTTCTCTGCCGAGAGGTTCCGCTCTACAAGACACAATTAAGAAAAAAAGCCACGTCCCCAAGAGCGAGCAGTTGAATTTCTCTTGTACAGTGAGAGTCATTTCTCGGCCCCACTGCACACATGGAGGAGACGTATAAGCCAAAACAAGGCCAGGGGGTCCCAGCGAGGTGAGCCGTGACCTCCTGGTACACGATGTGTTCCCCTGGCAGAAGCCAAGGCAGGGCTGGGGGACAGGGGCCTGCGATGCTGTGATAGCGCTGGGGCCTGCTCTCCACACCCAGTTTCCTGCAACGGTTTGTGAGTTTTCTGCAACGGTTTGTGATCTGGACTCCTGTGCACCCATCGGGAGCTGGGAGCGGCCTCGGAAGTCGAGGCGCCTTCCTGTACCCCTCCAGGCAAGCGCCCTGGGCCACCTAGCCCTGTCGGCGTCCGGGCCACGGGATCCCCACGGCGTAACACCGGGTCCACCAGCCTGGTCCGGCCCTGGTGTTCGCTCGCTGATGATGTGCAGAACGGGGAAGCCGGTTTCCCACCCCTGGGAGAAGCGGGGGCGCTGTCTGCCCTGGGGAGACTTGGGGGACGTCACGGCTCACTCTTGGGGGGACTTAAGGGTTCCCAGTGGTGGGCAGTCGAGTGTCCACTTCTGGGGCCAGCACTGACTTGATCTGAAAGGTCAGAGGTTCACCTCAACCTTGTGGCCGCGAGGCGGTACGGGGCCCCTACCCGCCCCAACGCCCTCAAAAACGCAACACGCCGAGGCACACCTTGGGGCGCAGCCTGGCTGTGACCCAACAGAGGGCGGCCACACCCCCGGGAGAGGCCGGGTGGGGACCGCAGGGCGCAGCTCTGCCAGTCCCACCCTTGGGCGCGGGGCTCCGGTCGACGCAGCCCTCCAGGCCGCCCCCCCAGCCGGCCGGCTCCACGGACCCGCGGAAGGGCGTCGGGGCGGCGTCGGGGCGGCGGGACGGTGGTCGGAGGGCGCCCCCCAGGCCGAAGCCGCGTTCCCCGGCCCCCGCCATGGCCCGGGGCGGCAGTCAGAGCTGGAGCTCCGCGGAGCCGGACGCGCGGCCGGAGCGGCCGGCGGAGGAGCAGGCGCCCGAGAAGCCCGGGTGGGCGGCGGGGGTCGGGGCCGCGAACCCGCCGCGGCGCCGCCGGAACCTCCGCGAAGGTTCCAGGCTCTTGTGGCGTCACGGTCTCCTTACGGAAGCTTCCGCCGGCGCCCAATAAAAGCCGCCGCGGAGGAGCCGGTGGCCGGAGTGCGGCGGTGCCGGGCGCGGGGCGCGGGGCGCGGGGCGCGGGCGCGGGCGGCGGGGCGGCGGGGGCGGCGGGTTCGCTCTGACCGGCCTCGCCCGCGCGCCCGCAGGGACAAGATGGTGAAGGAGACCCAGTACTACGACATCCTGGGCGTGAAGCCCAGCGCGTCCCCGGAGGAGATCAAGAAGGCCTATCGGAAGCTGGCGCTCAAGTACCACCCGGACAAGAACCCGGATGAGGGCGAGAAGGTGCGGGGGGCGCGGGGCGCGGCCGGGGTCCCCGGGGGCCGAGGCTCACGCCGCCCGGAGCGCGGAGGGCGGCGGGGAACCCGAGCCGCGGCCGCTGGGGAGGCCGTCGCCGGGCGCCGCGGGGCCGGGCCGGGGCGGGGGTGGCGCGAGGCCCCGGGCGCGGCGCGGTCGGCGGAGGGCGCTTGGCCCGCGGAGGCGGCGTGCGGTGCGGGGCGCCCGGGGGGGCCCTGCCGAGCCCCTTCTTTCTTCCGTTCGCTCCGCAAGCGCTTGGGGAGCTCCTGCCGTGCGCGCCGGACGCGGGCGTCGGGCAGGCGCGGGGGCCGAGCGCAGTTCTCGCGGGGTGTGTGGGCTTCCCTGTGGGAGAGGTGGCCCGCAAATCGGGAGACTGAGGCACACACGAACAGGAGCTGTGAACTTGCTGGGGACGGCTGGCTCCTGGTCTCTGCTGATGCGTAAACCCCAGGGATGAGTTCTTTACTCGAGCCGGGGCCTTGGACAAACGCCGGGTTCCCCCCGAGAATGACGAGCTGGATTTGTTCTGTGCGCTACCTCCTTCCACGTAGAAGCGTCAGACAGTGGATGATCCCATTTTATTTGTTAAACGGGGACGTGGACATCTGCATCCTGACATCAGCTTGTTCTCATGTTCTGGGTTTTCTGTGACAGGTGACACACAGTTGAGCATAAGTACCAATCATAGACTGAAAATGCATATTAGGGGTGGAAGTTAAAAGTTTCCATCCTGTTTGCAGAAAGTTTGCCTTTTATCCCTAAAGAGGCTCGTGACCCACCCGAATAGGTGAATTGAAGGATGAGGCATCGCAAGGAAAGCCTGCTAGCGCTCCCACTCCTTCTTTCACATCTTGCCATTTGCTTCTAAAACTTTGGTTGATCCACGTGGGTCTTGAGAGGTGGGGCCCTTAGAGTAGCTGATAGCAATGACAATATCATTGGTGGCCTGGGCCACTTTTGAAGCCGCACTGATCACCCCTGTAGCATTTAAGAGCTGTGGAAACAACGCTGGAATGAAAACACCTGTCTACATTCTTTCTTCCAAGCCGGAGAAAGCCACTTCAGGACGGTTGGCTGGATGGCAGCCGTGATGGAATATTTATATTTAGGCACATGTGCTGAATGTGGCTGTCACAAGTTTAAAATGCTTTCCTATAAGACGGTTTGTCTGTTACTCACTTGTGTTCCTTCTCGTCTATATTTAGATGGCTTACTGTAGCTTTTAAAGGCACTGGCGTTTCACATGGTGCTGGTGATGCATCCACCTGCTCTCTAAATTCATTGTAGTCTGCTTCTGACAGTCTCTTTTAAGGAGAGCTTCTGGCTTCTCGTTTCACATTTCAGCAGGCTGGCCAAAGACAGGTGGGAAGGCCTCCTGACCCTGATTTCAGGTCAAACCTCAGCACTTACGAGAGGAAGCTCCTGCCTCTGTGCATAGCATTTGAGCTGAATGTGCTTTTGTTTTTTGAAAATTAGACTTGGCCTGTACTACATAGGTGTAGGTTTCACCCTGCCTACACCTGTCTGGGCAGGTCCCCTGGTTTGTTTTAAACTAATATTTATTGGTAGTCAGGCACTTAGTGTCACATAAATGAGGCTCATGACAGTGAGGTCTGGCAGGCCCCTCTCGGCTCGGAGGGAGGGGTTCTGTGATGTGCCCACTGCCAGGAATACTTTCCTCCCCCTGCCTTCACGGATAGGGATAAAACTCTTTAGTTCTCAGCTAAAAGTCTTCCAGGAGCCTGCCTCTGCCTCATAGACTGACCCACAGGCCCAACACGCATCCGACTTGAAGGGTGATTGTTTGTTTGATACTTGTTTTCCCTGCCGTAATGTAAGCAGGGAAAACTTACATTTCCCTGTTCCCCCAAGGCCCCCACGGCCACGTATGGGGTGAGTGTCTAGCTGCACAGGGTAGGTGCTAAAATGTTTGTTGGCTGGCTGAGTAAATGCATTTAAAAAATTGTATGTAGAAGGAGGAGAGGCCCCTATAAAGGCATAAATTGAAAGGGAAATTGCAGTGAAGTGGGTATTGGAAACAGAGTGGCAGTTTCGATTGGAAATCAAAGGGGATAAGGAGGCTAGAGACACAATTTATGGAAACTCTGCTGTAAAATTCCCCCGAGAGAGAGCTAATTCATTCATTCATTCATTCATTCAAGAGATACCGCCTCTTCTGGTCCCTACTGTGTGCTGGGTGCACGGTGCAGGCCTTTTGTGAGTGTGTATGTGAGTCTGTGTGTAGTTCTTGTCCATTTCATTACAGGTAGAACCTTTAAATTTTTTTTCTCCTAAGTTAGTCACTGTATTATTAACGTCTCTTCAAAAATAGACGATGCCAGTTCTTTCCCCTTATCCTGGCACAACTGAGAAGGCCGTCGAGGTGCTGGTCTTTGTTTTCTGCCCTGTTGTCCCGTGTTGCTAAGCACTGGGGCAGCCTGAGTTTGCCGGGCACTCCTTGCGGAGTCTGTACTCATCTGTGGCTGGTTTTTTTGCAAGACACATGGGTGATAGGTAGTGGGTCGGCAGAATAGTCCCTTTCAGGGGCAGTGATGTGGGGTATAGTGTTGGCTAGTATCCTGTTGAGTGGAGTTTGGTCTTCGGGTCAATTTCACTGTACCTTTTAGTTTGAATAATAGATTTTCAAGTTCAGAAATCAAAAGATAGCAAACTGCGCAGGAAATTTTAGAACACAGAGGGAAACCTACCAAGTACACATTATCCTAACCACTCTGTGCTGCTCTGCAAGGTCTTCCATGGCCATCCTGATACGTAGACTTTTCCTTTTCTTTTAAATATTAAAAGTACTTATGGTATTTTATTATAAGTACTTTTCCAAGTTGTTACATAGTCTTCAAAGCCATTTTCTCCTCACCTGTGTAATAATCCTATTAAGGTTCTGTGGCAAATGATCCTGGTCTGAAAGGCAAGCTGGTCATAGCATTTATCTCCAACTGGGAGAAGGGGGTCCAGGTTGGGAGCTGGATTAGACTTTGGAGGGCCGGGGCCCTAGAGGGTGGACTTCCTACCAGTGGTGGGAACCCCCGTCCCATGTGAGATCTGGCCTCTGACTGCATATCTCAAGCAGCTGGGCACTCCTTTTCCATTCCTTAGGTAATTCTATGAAGTCTAAATGTCATGTGAGTATCCAGGGTATTTGGTGAGTGTTTCCAGTGGACGTTCCCATGAAGCTTATTTACGTAGTCTTGGGCTGCAGATAGGCGCAGAAACTCTCCAGGGCAGCCTGGCCTGGTAGCTTTCTGATCCTTCCCAGGCACCTGATCCTTACATTGCACGTCAGGTTTTCTCCTCAGGAAAGGGGCAGAAGTGAATGGTACTTACTTCTTGGCAGAAATGGTATGAGAACTAACGGATCAAAAGCTCTAGCTGCCTGATCTGTGATGCTGATGGCTTTTTAAGACTTAATTTTCTAAATTGTACAGTTATTAGCCCTTATTATTAGTAGTTAATTATTAGATTTCAATCAGGGATCTGTAGAACAAGGGAATTCATACCTCAAATTCCCTTGTTTTCTCTCTAATTCCTTACTTCATGGAACTTTTTTCCCATGTTATGTTTTGTGAAGCCAGCTGTATTACAGGATCTGTATATCTATGTATCCATACATGTCTCTCAGGCTAAACTGTAGCCTCCGGAGGGCCAAGACCTAGCTTATTTATTTCTGAGTTCCCAGAATCACGCTATTCATCTAACACGTACTTACCAAGTGCCTTCTGTGCGCCGGGCATGGTTCCAGGCTCAGGTACGCAGCGGTGGACACAGCCTCCCATCTTCACGGAGCTTATGTTGCAGTAGGGGCTACAGCATAAGCAGTAGATGATGCAGCATGTTAGCAGGTGGTTAATGGTGTGGAGAAAAACGCAGCAGGATGGGGGTGGGAGGGTCTGCGATGGGTTTGCAGCACTAAAGCTGGGTGGCTGTCCCTGCGAAGGTGGTCTGTGAGCTAAGGCTGGGAAGAGGTGAGTGGGGAGGCTGCACCAGGCCGAGGTGCCTCTGAGGCTCAGGCTGCAGAGTTGAGGAACAGCAGGGAGCCTGGTGAAGCTGGCACAAAGGAGAGGAAAGTAGAGAGGTGCCAGCTTGGGCTTCTGTATGAAAGTCAGGACTGGCTTTTACTCCCAGTGACGTGGGCCGCCCTGTAGAGATTTGAGTGGGCTCGGGTGGAGAACACTGAAAGCTGGGGTGAGGAGGGAACGTGGGAGACCAGGGAAGACGGCACTGCAGTGGGCCAGACCTGAGATGGCGCCTTCAGCCAGGGCGGATGCGCTGTGGTGAGGAGGAGTGGGTCTTGCGTGTTCTAGCATTCTGGTTTTATTATCAAAATTTCCATATACCTGCAGAAAACATGAGTGGTACAGTGGACACCTGTGTGTTCTTCACCTAGCTCTACCACTTGGAAGTTGTCACGTTTGTTTTATCTGTTGTTATTTGTTATTACTATTTGCTACAGATTTGGGGAGGAAGCTACCTGTATCACAGCCTTGCAGCCCTAAACGCTGCATGTTTCTCTTAGGCGCAAGGACGTTGTTCGTATAACCATAGTGCAGTTATCAAATCCAAGCAGTTTAACATTGAGAACAAAGATTCACATTTCTCCCGTGCTTCCAACAATCTCCTCCGTAGCCTTTTTTCCTCCCACCCCCTAATGTAGGAGCCGATCCAGGATCACGTATTGTATTCGGTTTTCCTGTCTTTTCATTGGGAAGTGTCTCCCAGTTTGGGTTTTCTGATTCTTTTCTTACAGTTGGGTTCCAGTGGTAACTTCTTGGCAGGAAGGTTTCCATGGGATATTGTGTCTGTGGTAGGGTACTGGAAATGCAAATGCGGAGGGGGTGTCAGCAGAGCTGTTGACAGGTGAGATTAGCGTTGCCAGTAACTGCGCTATGGGGCAGCCTCTGGGCGGGGGCTTTCGGGGAGGGTCAGGAGTGTACAGTATCTGGCCCCTGCTGAGGTGCTCACAGATCCTGTAGTTGAATTTCATGGGAGTAAACTAGTGAAATGATTCCCAGGAGGAGGTGAGCCAGTGGGAGCCCCGGAGTCCTGGCTTTGTCTGGTACTGGATTCAGTCCCAGCACTGTCTCATGGTGTCCTAGCTGGACTCGATTTCCTGTCTGGTGCGGTCGGATTGGGGGAAACTCTTCCTCTCTCCTGCCTTCTCTCCCTTTTTCTTGTTGTGTCCCTTAATGTGTTTCCCACTTTACCAGAGGAGTCAATAGGTGGGCAGGGCAGGTCCCGGGAAGAGGGTGTATCGACGGGCCGGTCCGAGGGGCTGGGGGAAGAATACTCTGTTTCTTTGGGTTTACTGAACAAAACAACTGAAACGTCTCTCTTTTTAAAAATCTCTGTCTCTCTCTTTTTCTTTTAAAGTTTAAACTCATATCCCAGGCATATGAAGTGCTTTCTGATCCAAAGAAAAGGGATATTTATGACCAAGGCGGAGAACAGGCAATTAAAGAAGGAGGCTCAGGCAGCCCCGGCTTCTCTTCACCCATGGACATCTTCGACATGTTCTTTGGTGGTGGAGGACGGATGGCTAGAGAGAGAAGAGGTAAATGCTTCTAAAGAAACAGAAATCAGTTGTATGGTTTCCCCAAGTGTACGTGTTGTTGGAATCGGGATAGATCCTGCTTTAAAAGGACGCGATCGGACCAGGCACGGTGGTTCATGCCTGTCATCTCAGCACTTTGGGAGGCCGAGGTGGGAGGATCACTTTAGGCCAGGATTTCAGGACCAACCGGGGCCACGTAGTGAGAATCCCGTTGCAAAAAAATAAAAATTAAAAAATGAGCCAGCATGGTGACTCATTCCTGTAGTCTTAGTGACTTCTTGAGAGGCTGAGGCGGAGAGGGTGACCTGAGCCCAGGAGGTCGAGGCTGCAGTGAGCTCTCCAGCCTGCATGACAGTGAGACCCTGTCTCAAAAAAAAAAAAAAAAAAAAAAAAGGTACTATTACCGTGTTTTCGGGTCATTTACTCTAAAGAGTTGATCACTTGTCTAGTGCCCAGGCTACCTGGAAACTCTTTCTATATTTAATAATTATCTAACACCCTCCAAATACCATATGAAGGAGCGAATGGAGTGGTGGATAGAAGAGAGAAAGGCCGGCCGGGCGCGGTGGCTCAAGCCTGTAATCCCAGCACTTTGGGAGGCCGAGGCAGGTGGATCACGAGGTCAAGAGATTGAGACCATCCTGGTCAACATGGTGAAACCCCGTCTCTACTAAAAATACAAAAAAAAAATCAGCTGGGCATGGTGGCACGTGCCTGTAATCCCAGCTACTCAGGAGGCTGAGGCAGGAGAATTGCCTGAACCCAGGAGGCGGAGGTTGCGGTGAGCCGAGATCGCGCCATTGCACTCCAGCCTGGGTAACAAGAGCGAAACTCCGTCTCAAAAAAAAAAAAAAAAGAGAGGAAGGTCAAGTTCATCGGGCCTTCTTTTCCTCTGTTGTTGGGGTCAGGCCGCAGCGCGTCCCGAGGGATGTACGTGGCGCCTCCTGCGGTTGTCAGGGGTCCTTTGCTGAGAGTGCCCCTCTCCCCTCCTGCCCCCCCGTCATTTGTGGCCCTCCGCCTCCCCTGACCTGGGCTGGGGCTGCAGGCTCTGTAACTCCAGGATGGGTGCTCTTGCCACGTGCAGTGTGGCCTCGTTTCTCAGCCTGCTCAGGGGATTTACCTCTTTCAGTTTTGAAATCTTTGTAAAGACCTGCATTTCTTTTCAGAATGCGTGATGAGTAGCAACAACTTTATCCCAGGAGGTGAATGAGGAACTCAGGCCCTTAGCTGGTCGGCCCCAGGCCACTGCTTTGACTTCTGGGGTTTGCTCTTCCTAATTTTTCTGCATCTCACCTTCTGCCAGGCTACGGGCCGCCACCTCCATTGTTAGTCATTGCTAATAGACGAGCTGCTGTTGTCCCTAGTTTACTGTTGTCGGGCTGCTTCGGACCTTGAACCCAGAAAGATAGCCAAGCTTCTTACAATTCTGGATAAAGGCAGAAGAAGTGAGCTCTGTCTGGGGGTTTAAGCAGTGTGGTTTTGGTCACTGAGAGGCCCCTGGATAAATGAAGAAGTACTTGTTATCACATCATAATTGACTTTGAGCTTTGAAAAGCTTGGGTGTCAGGTTCTGTGAACGCAGACTGCCGAAAATCACCAAGTGTTTATTAGGGAAAAATCCTTCCCTGTCCTTTGAGCATATTGCCCGCTCATGTAATTGATGGTGTCGGTGTGATTAAAACCTTCGATACTCTCTTGTCCAGCTCCCTGTCTTCAGACGACAAACTTCACGCCCTTAATTAAGTCAGCTCTCCAAGTCGGCCGCCAGTAAACCAGGACAGCTTGTCTCAGTGGCTGCAGGAGCTCCACAGGCAGCAGGGAGGGTCTTGATGCTGTCAGCCCTGATAGGCTGGCAGGCACTGGCGCACACCCCGCCCTGAGGACTAGACACCCACCGTCCTGAGTGCAGAAGCAAGATGTTGGCAGAGGAGAGAATTCCCATTTGGCCGCTGGTTACAGTAGGGCTCAGAAAATAAAGTGCTTTATGCCCAAGGAGGAGTTTCAGTGAAAGATCTGGAGACTTCGGCTGTCACATATTCAGGAATAGAAAGGACTCCTTTCATGGGGAAACGTAACCAGCTTCATGGGCTAATACTGCCTTCCGTCTCTCAATGAGTGTTCCCCCTGTCCACTCACTTGTTCTCAGAAAGTAAAGGTGGAAAGCCTTTTGGTTGGCCTCTATAAATGACTGAGTAATTAGCTCATAGCTAGAGAGGGTATTAGTTCTTGTTGTTGGCTGAGGGCCAGAAGGATGGGCTGGGGTAATAGAAGCATTGCTTCCCCCAGGGGAGGGAACGCAGGACCCAGCCACAGCCTTGAGTCTCTGGAGACTTCATACAACTAAGGGTCATGTGGGTGGTATTTCATACAGTGCTATATTTAATTAATCATCCCTATTTTTTTTCCTCCCTTGGTAAGGCAAGAATGTTGTACACCAGTTATCTGTAACTCTTGAAGATTTATATAATGGAGTCACGAAGAAATTGGCCCTCCAGAAAAATGTAATTTGTGAGAAATGTGAAGGTAAAAGTTAATTTTTGACTGAACCTCGCAGTCCTGATCCCTCAGATTCAGAAACAATGCTTGTTTTATAGTTTAGAAAAAAAAAAAAAAGTTCTCTTTTTTCCCATGCAAAGGTCAAACAGAGATGGCAGCCAGGAGGCCTGAGGGCCCCAGTGCTTTGCCTGAAGGAATGTGTTCTTTGGGCTGTACCTCTATTTGACATGTTGACAATTATTTTTAAAAATTAAAAAGCAGACAGTTGACCTGAGCTAGGGGTTGGCAGACTTTTTCTGTAATGCGCTGGATTTTAGGCTGTCCGGTCCGTGGGGTCTTTGGTGACGTTCGCTCTGCCATCGCAGTCTGTGGATGAATGGACGTGCCGTGTTCCTGTAAGGCTGTATTTACAACACCAAGCAGTCTGGCCGTGGCTTACTGACCCCTGACCTAAATGTATATGTAATTATTGTAAGTCTTTAAAAATCTGGGTTTTCCAGAAAAGCCATGCCTGGTGGCGCCAGCCTCGTGTGCCCCGCAGAGGGAACTGGCTGAGCCGGGTAGCTGCCGCCGTTGACAGAGCTTGTGCTCTCCAGACCTCCACAGCCCCGGCCTCCCCGTTCATCTGCGGGCTTATGGCGACTCCACCAGGGGTGGAACAAAACACGCGTGACGAAGCCAACGCCATAAACTTGGGTTGGTACAGCCAAAGTCACAAACGTTTGTGGTCCGCTGTTAACATCGGGATGCGGTCTGCGTGGCCGGATTCCTCCAGCCTCTTCTGCGTTGTTTGTTACGACTGTAGATAGAATTCTAAGCCCGGTGCCCAGTGAGAGGGTTCCCTGCCCTTCCGCCATGTTGCCCAGCAGGGTCGCTGGTGAGGGACGAGCACGGGCCTCATGCCCGCCGCCCCCAACCCTGCAGGTGCCGGCGGGAAGAAGGGCTCCGTGGAGAAGTGCCCGCTGTGCAAGGGGCGGGGGATGCAGGTCCACATCCAGCAGATCGGGCCGGGCATGGTGCAGCAGATCCAGACCGTGTGCGTGGAGTGCAAGGGCCAGGGCGAGCGCATCAACCCCAAGGACCGCTGTGAGAGCTGCCTCGGTGCCAAGGTGATCCGCGAGAAGAAGATCATCGAGGTTCACGTGGAGAAAGGTGAGGCTGCGCCGAGCGGGTGCTCCACGCCGGCTGGAAACGCTGTCTGGGTGCTAACCGTGGGATGCGCAGGCTAGGTGTCAGGGAAGTGAGCTGCGTCTCAGCCCGCACCGGGTGTGCCCTGAGTGCCTCCTGTTGCCCGGTCCTCTGCTCTTGATCCTTCCTGGCTTCGTTTCCCTTCCATGTCACCGGCCGGCGTGCTCTTGCTGAGGTTGACTTCCCTGCGCTCACAGGCCGCCTCTTTCGGAGGTTTTCCGATGCTCTGAAAGTCTTACCTGGCCCTGGCCTTGGTTAGCTGCCAGCTCCTGACATTCTCAGGCCACTCCCCTCGAGTCTTTCAGAGTGTCTTCCTGATGGCTTCCGCGTCATTGCGCATAAGGGCTTGTGTAAGGGTTTGTGGCTGCATGTGCCTGTCCCCCATGTTTCCCCATCTGCTGCACCAGATTCCCCCAACACAGCTCCTTCCCCTGCCATTCATTTTGCCCGATGCCTTCATTTTAAGGCCTTTTTTTCCATTTCAGCTGCCCTGCAAGTATTCCCCGATGATTCTGTGGCTTTCCATTCCAGTGACTATATCCTAGATCAGAGACGAGACCAAAAGTCACAGAATCGGCACTCAGACCGACACAGGTGTTACTAGAGGACTCGCTGTTTGAACGTACCCGAGCCTTGTGTCTTGAGTGTGCACGCTGGCTTATTAGAAGAGGACAGGGCTGGCTGGCCTGTCCCCGTCCTGTACCACGTACACCAGGAAGTGGGCGGTGACCCCACGCTGGCACTGTGATGTCCCAGGCGCGGGTCAGGGAGTGCTGTGTAAACCCGGCGTGTGGAGCCACGTCGCCCTCTCCCTGTGCACGCTGGGCTGGGCCCCACGTCTTTTCTCATTGGCCGTCCTGGCCACCGCGCCCTGCGGTGTGCCTGGGTGAGGTTGGGAGGCTTGATGAACAAAGACCCCTCGGGGACTCTGGTCCTTCTTCAGAAGCTTTAAGGAAGCATGGTTTGTATGAGCAGTGGCTAATCAGAAAGGGATGATGTCTCATAGGTATGAAAGATGGGCAGAAGGTACTGTTTCATGGAGAAGGAGATCAGGAGCCTGAGCTGGAGCCTGGTGATGTCATAATTGTGCTTGATCAGAAGGATCATAGTGTCTTTCAGAGGCGAGGCCACGACTTGATCATGAAAATGAAAATTCAGCTTTCTGAAGCTCTTTGTGGCTTCAAGAAGACATTAAAAACATTGGACGATCGGATTCTTGTTATCACATCCAAATCAGGTAATGTTTCAGATGTGTGTTTCTACTGAAGTTCCGTATGTTTGCCCTAATAATCCTGGCAAGTTAGTCTGATTGTTTTATTGCTTTATAATATTTTACATATTGATGGGGTCCATGTGATACTTTGTCCCATGCATAGAATGGCCAATGACCAAGCCCGGTGTGTGGGGCATCCACCACCTTGAGTATTTGTTATTTCTTTGTGTTAGGAATCGTTCGCCTGATTTCACATTTAAGGTCAAATCCTGTTACACAAGTTAGTATGACATGATTTTCTCTAAATTTAAAGTTATCCCTGATGACTCTGGATAATTTATAACTTTCATATTCTCCTAGAAAAAAAATTCCGTTGTAGGGAAAAGCCTCAAATAAGCATCTTGGGGCTCTGAAATTTTAGCTGAAATCTGCCAATTAAACTTGTTTTAAAAATTTTACTTTTGTATAAGAAAACAGTTTAATAGGTGTGTGTTTTTCTGTCATGTGGTGATTTGTGCTGATTCATCCACATGTTCCTGTAGCCTCTGTTGTTCGTTACACGAGTTACATTTTAAAATAGAATTTTCTGGCCGAGCGTGGTGGCTCACGCCTGTAATCCAAGTACTTGGGAAGCCAAGGCGAGCAGATCACCTGAGGTCGGGAGTTCAAGACCAACCTGACCAACATGGTGAGACCCCCCCCATCTTAAAAAAATTTTAAAAATTAAAAAAAAAATCAAATCAAATAGAATTTTCCTGTAAAAAAGACTTTGCCTACCAGCTTATCCTTGGAGCAGACCACAGGAATTGCTGGTCTGCACGCACCATGGGAGCCAGAGGGTGATGCCTCTGGGCCGAAAGGGTTCCTGAGGGCCCGAGTCAGCCTTCAACCCCCCTGTAAGCACCAGGACACGCATCTCCCAGGAGGGCTGGTGTTCACTGCAGTCTGTGTGGGCACCAGGGCACCTGCCTAGAAGGGGCTGAGAGGGGAGAGAGACCAGGCCAGGGACCTGGACTGGAAGCTGCTTCTAGGTAGCACCAGGGTCGGCTGTGCATAGCAAAGAGCGTCTGGATGGGGGTGGTGGCAGCGGCCCGCCCAAGCAGCCTGGGCACCAGCACCAGCCATTTGCAGTGTTGCGGTAGTCCCCTCACTGGCCCTGGGGCTGGGATTACCTTTTCCTGTGGCCACTTGAGGTTTGGGGCAGAAGGGGTAGTCGTTTCAGGGCAGGCAGGGAGGTAACTGGCTGATAAGCCTGTGCCCAGGGCAGTGGCAGCAGGAGATAAGACTGAAGTCCAGTGGGGTGACTGAGGCCTGGGCTTCTGCTCCCTCCGTGCCCCTCCCCCCCCCCTTACCTGCCTGCTTTCCTCTTCCCAGCCTTGTGCTCGCTTTCTCTCTCTTCCTCTTGGATTCATGGAGGGCCCTCTTTTCCTGGGAGTAACAGCAAGCAGAATTGTATATCCAAGCCTTGATCAGTCTGTGGTGTTTAAAGAAAAACTTATTTGGAAACAATTTCAAGCTTACAAAAAGTTGTAAATATAAAAATAGTCCGGGGCCCACCCGTATGGGATTTGTCTGATGTTAACATTTTACCCCATTTGATTGGTCATTTGCTCTGTGTCTGTTTTTATTTATTTTAAAAATGTATCTATTTAGTTTTTGAGTCAGGGGTCTTATTCTGCCGCCCAGCCTGGAGTGCAGTGGTGGGATCTCAGCTCACTGCAACCTCCACCTCCTCCTCCCAGGTAGCTGGGACTCCAGCCATGTGCCACCATGCCCAGTTAATTTTTGTATTTTTTATTTTTTTGTAGAGACGGGGTTTCACCATGTTGCCCAGACTTGTGTGTGCGTGTGTTTTTTGTTTGTTTGTTTGTTTGTTTTTTGAGACGGAGTTTCGCTCTTGTTACCCAGGCTGGAGTGCAATGGCACGATCTCGGCTCACCGCAACCTCCGCCCCCTGGGTTCAGGCAATTCTCCTGCCTCAGCCTCCTGAGTAGCTGGGATTACAGGCACGCGCCACCACGCCCAGCTAATTTTTTGTATTTTTAGTAGAGACGGGGTTTCACCATGTTGACCAGGATGGTCTCGATCTCTTGACCTCGTGATCCACCCGCCTCGGCCTCCCAAAGTGCTGGGATTACAGGCTTGAGCCACCGCGCCCGGCCGTGTGTGTGTTTTTATACATATACTTAATCAAGGGTTCGGGGCAGCGCTGCAGTAGAATGCGAAATTTGTGTGAAAATTTAAAATAAAACACCTTCCCTTAGGTTTCCATAGACCTCCCAAGGCACCTGTTTACTCCTCCTCCTCAAGGGAGTTTGAGGGTCACAGCTGGAGGACAGCCCCAGACCACTGGCTGTGAGCAGTGGGTGCCTGACGCCCTGGCACTGTGTCCGGGAGGCCCTCGCATGGCCACAGCCCAGATCCTAGGCCTCCCGAGCGGCGGCCGGCAGCCTCTGTGCGTGGCCTCTTTGCAAGAGCCCGTCCTGCCCAGGGCTGGAGTGCTGGAGGTGTTGGGCCCCACCGAGGGCATTCCTTGCTGCCTGAGTGGCCCCGGCCCGGGAACCGGGAGCCGAATGGAAAAACCCCAGAGGGAAGGAGGTGGCGCATCCCAAGAAACCTGCTTCCTCCTCTGTTACAAGGAAGAGTGAAGCGCCCCGAAAGCCCGCCCCTGGGGAGTCCTCTGGGGATCGCTTTGTCCTGGTTTTCTGTTTGCTTTTTCTCTGTTCTCCTGTTCTTTTCTGCACCCCTCCTCTGTTCCTCGCCCCGCTTTTGTGCGGGCTCACTTCTTCTTTCTCCATGTCTCTTCTCCTCTTGCTCCTCTCCTGCTGTTGAAATGCCTCCTTCCCCAGAGCCCTTTAGCCTGTTTTGAGCGATGCTGAGGATTGGATTGATTAAAATGTGATTTTGGAGCCACACCAGGGTGTGATGCCCCAGCCTGCGGCAGGCGTTTGCCTGCCGGGGGAGCGTGACTCGAGGGCTCCTTCCTTCTCTTACCTGGGGTTTTCCACGCCTGGTCGGTTTCCCAGCTCCCGGCAAGCTGGAAGCACAAAGATGGAGAGCAGGGCTTGAGGGCAGCGAGCAGCGACCCCCGATAGGAACAGGGAGGCAGGAAAGCCCGCCGTGTGCCGCTTAACCGGGGGGCGGGGTACACTCTGAGAAGTGCACCGTTGGCGATGTGGTGTCGGCCTGATGGAATGTCCTCAGACCAGGCGGCACGGCCGGCTGCCCCCGAGGCTGTGTGGCATAGCTTGTGGCTGCTGGGCTGGACGCTGCATGGCAGGCTGCGGTACTGAATACTGTGGGCAGCTCTACTGTGTGGGTATCTGAACACAGAAAGGGTGCAGCAAAAATTTGGTGTCATCTTAGGCAAGCATCTTCATAAATGCAGTCTGCTGTTGACTGAAAGGTCGCTGTGCTGTGCAGGACTGTATTTCAAAAGAGTAGAATAAACAGGAACACAAAAAGCCAGCAGCCCGGAGCAGTTGCTAAGGGGCTGCCGTCCCGCCGTCAGTAGGCTCCGAAGGGCACGTGAGCCGCAGCCCTGCCCGCGAGTGACTGTCAGGGATCGTCATTGGCTTACTTTATTTTTAAAACCTCCTCTTTAAAGATTTCCTCTTGGAGAGAGAGTTCACTTTGTAGACAGTCCAGGGTGGGCGTGGACTGCTGAATAAATCAGGTGTTTAGATTCCTCTCCACCGTCTCCCCCCGTTTTTTTCTGAGCATTTTTCTGTCTCTGTCCGTTTTCATCGCTCCGCTGACGGGCATACTTTATCAGGAAACCCTGTTGTCCCTTTCTGTTTCCGTGCTGGGAGGGAAGTCCGTCTTGGGCTTGGGAAGAGTGCCCAGAGCTCTTGGGCTCCGAACTCCGCTCTGCCTTCCAAAGTCACGTAGCCGTAAGACCCAGTAGGTGCCAGCCGGGAGGGCGACTCCGGCTCAGCAGCGTGCGTGGAAGTGCGGTGTGACCCGGAAGGAGCCTGCTGGTGGCCGAGCCTCCTAGTCAGCGCCCTGCTAAGGAATCTGGGTGTCACCTGCAGGTGGCCGGGAGCCAGTTTTTATGCCAGGCAGGGGACTGGCTGGATTCTACGGAGGCTTCTGCCTGTCTGTGAGGAGCAGTCCTGTCCCTTCATGGTAGGGACACCTGTCACCCCACGAAGGACCCCATTTGACACAGACTTGGGTGTCGTAACTTCTGGTTCACTTGTTTTAAACCTGCCTGTGATGGCGGCTGCAGCATGCTGACCTCTTGACACGCTGCCGGAGCCCAGAGCATGGGCCAGAGCCCCAGCCCGAGCCCCTCCCACAGGCAGTACCCGACAGGGACACCTGCGATCGGGGCAGCTTGCCAGTCAGATGCCACGCTGCCTTTGCCCACTGCCTCGGGGCGCCAGGGCTGCCTCGGGCTCCCCGGGAGGGAGAGTGAGTGGCCTCTGCAGGCCCCTCTGCCCTCCTGCGTGGTAACAGCCTTCCTCCGGCAGGTGAGGTGGTGAAGCACGGGGACCTGAAATGTGTGCGCGACGAAGGGATGCCCGTCTACAAAGCACCCCTGGAGAAAGGGATTCTCATCATACAGTTCCTGGTAAGTTGGTGTTTCACTGTCACGGACACACGATTGATTGCAGCCTTCATCGGAAGGGGACCACACAGCCACCTCTTTCCCACCTCACCCCCACAGGTGGTCTTTCCCGAAAAACACTGGCTCTCCCTGGAAAAGCTTCCTCAGCTGGAAGCTCTGCTCCCGCCTCGACAGAAAGTGCGGATAACGGAGGACATGGATCAGGTGGAGCTGAAGGAGTTCAGCCCCAGCGAGCAGAACTGGCGGCAGCACCGGGAGGCCTACGAGGAGGACGAGGACGGGCCCCGGGCCGGGGTGCAGTGCCAGACGGCGTGACGGGGCGGGCGGGCGGCCCCGCCGGACCCGCACAGGACGCCCGGTCGGCACGATGACGCTTTCACGGCCTCGTGTCTGGGGTGTCCCGTGTCTGTGTTCAGCGTTCTCAGTTGCTGAGTGTCTTTCCGGTTTTTCTTTGTGCTGTCACTTAAGTTACAGCTTAATTTATATTTAAATGTTTTAAGTGTGAATCGCCTCTAGTCTGCATATGGAGTCTGTTCATTTCTGTCTTCAGGGTGTACTTTTGAGATGTCAGTGGTCGCACCGACACTTTGTGCTTCTAGTGGCTTTGCTGTAATTCAGCGTCACTGATAAAGCACAGCCCCGTTAGCAGCTCAGCCCCTAGCAAACCCCGAGGCACAAAGCGGGCGTCCTGGCCCATCTCGAGGTCTGTGGTTTCTCCTCCGTCCCTTGGCAGAGTTATTGAGGGCATGATCTCAGGGCCGCTAAGATCACATTTCTGAGGATTCTGGATGATCCTCTTGAAGAATAAAAGCACATCCGTGGATCCAACATGCCTGCATGTGCCTGGTTAACAGGGCCAACCTAGTTCCACTGTTCTGTGCCCTTCAGTGGATGGAACTGTGTGTCTGGTCGTCTCTCTTGGAAGTTTTCCTGAGACTTCCAAGCTCTGTGGTGAGGACAAACCAGTGTTTGGAATCATGCTGTTAACAACTGTTTTTCTGTGACCCTCACAACTTGTTCTTCGTGGTTTTAATGATTTTCTGTTGACAACTTTTGCAACGCTCTCCCACCAAAGTGCTTCTTGTAAAGAAAACTCAATCCTTCTATGTCCCTGGCAGCCCCAGTGCAGCCCCGACGCCGAGGGAAAACGTGGCTGCTGTGGCCCGCGGCACAGCCAGCTTCTCCGACCAGTAATCCTGGTCACTTGAGGGTCTGCAGACACATAGAGCTCCTCAGTGTTTCCCCCTCATCCTCCCAGACTCGGCTCCCTTCCAAAGGATCGTTCCTCTCATTGCACAGCCATATTACAAAGGGCTTCCTGCTCACGGGATGTTTTGGTGAGAACTGCAGAGTTCCACTGTGGATTAGCTTGTATGAACTACTGCTGTAAATTACAGCTTGTGAGGAGGGACGTTAGTCATTATTTTATTCCTGACAGGTAGACTACAACTGGAACTTAGGGTTACCTCAGTCTTTAGCCACTACTGCTAATTTCTTGCCCTGAGTCACGGAAAACTTCTGAGCTGCTGGGTTAAAGCAGAGGTCACCTGTCAGATCCACCCTTAATTGGTTACATGGCACCTGAGAGTTTGCCTCACACCAGGGACCTTCCTTAGGAGGGTCAAAGGGCAGATCAGACCATGCAGGTAGGGTGAACCAGCTGGATGGCCCGGGTTCTGCAGAACATTGCCAGCTAGTGGGGCACAAGTTGCTCAAAGTATAGAAACAGCCCACCTGTGCCCACTTTGACCATTGGTCAAGATAGATACAAAACCACTTCTTCCAACTAAGCCCGTAGGAAATCAGCTTGTAAGTGGACCACACTCCAGGGTGGTATTTCTGTGCTGTGACTTCCTAATAGATTCTTGCTAAAGGACTGCTGTTTAGTGATGGAGCAAATTTACTTTCATGTAAGAGGAATTTGGAGGATGTTGCTTAAAATTTTATTCCACCTGTACATTTGTTACTTTAAAATTAAAATTGAGCTGGTATGAGAGACAAGTGGCTTTGCTTTTTCATTTTTGAGAGCTCCAGTGAAGCGTTACGTTGCCAGCTTGCCACTCATTGGCTAATAGAATGGAATGAAGTTTCCACCCTCATGGAGCTTTATTTTGGGGGTGGGGGTTAATGCAAACAAACAGTGGTAGCTGCTGTGAAGAACAAGAGGAATGGGGACAGTCGAAGGGAATGGGGAAGGCGGCCTTACGAGGAGCATCTGGGCGGCTACCGGGGTGCAGTGGGGGCACAGACCTCCGAACGTCTTGGGGGAAAACGTTCTGGGCAGAGGAAATGGCGAGGACAATGTGGTGCCAGGAGGGTGGGCAAGGCACCAGGACAGGGACGTGGGGGCCACGCTAAAGAGGGTGGGCTTCACTCTGAGGGCAGTGAGTGGGCAAGAACACAGGACCTGACTCATAAGCTGACTCGTAAGTTATGATCAATAAAAAGCAGTGAGCTTCCGAGTGTTTGGCTACTTACATCTTTCTCATTTACCTGAGTCTCAAGGGGACCGTGGACAAGGAAACTGAGGTGCAGACACTCTGAGATAACCAGGGTGGGGCTAGAGTTCTGCGGCATGAGCACAGGCTTGAGCCTCGGCATCGTCAGGGCAGCAAGAACAGGAGCCTCCCAACGTCTACACAGCGATGTCAGAGGCCTCGCCCAAGTCAGTAAAGGGTAAGGAGGGCGGGCAAGGGACATCTTTAACACATCAAGTAGAAAGATGCCCAGATAGGCGTACGTAATGTTCCCATGCAGTCCAAGACACTCTTTCCTTCAGGACTCCATTCTAAAATAGATGAGCTTCTCTATCTCAGCTCCGAGGAGCTTGCTGTCCGTATCTCACTGCAGGAGTCAATTCCCTGGAAGAGTGAGCCTGTATTTCTAAGCTGGAAAGTTAAAGAAGTGCCTGGATCTCTTGATTGCGGAGACTAAAGATTTCCTCTTAATGGCAATCCCTGGTAATCGGGTAACTGAGAAAAGCAGCATGCTCAAGGACACCAGTATTTGCATGAAGAAAGCTCTGTGTTAAAGTATGAACAGCATTTCCAATAAAACATGAAAAGATTTACATTTTATCTATAAAATTTAAGTCTTTGCTACAATAAATGCTCTATTTCTCTTAAGCCTAAAAAGGTAAGGAATGTCATCATCAATCTGTACATTCTCTTTGCAGCATAATTCTGGAGACTCTGATGTTTAAATTGGACAGTCATAGATGTGAATTTCCTGGTCATCTCCCACAGACACAATTTTTGAGCCATTTCCATTGTATTTTACTCCCCAGACCTGTAAATTAAAAAAAAAAAAAAGTTTTGAAAATGCCATCATTCTTTATAATGTTTGCGAAATGAACATTCTTACTGTTGTTCTGAATCTAAAGAAACAGATGAGGATGTCCTTGTACTTTTTCAATCAGTGGGAATGGAGGCTTAACCAAGCACCTTCCCTTGTTGCTATTTAATTAGCATTCTTTTCCCTTCCCACACCCCGCCCCCCCCAAAAAAAATCATTTTTAAATACAGTCCTAACCAAGATTATCTACAGCCCTTTCAAAGAGTCAGAATCCTGAGGTGACCTAAGGCCAGGAAGACGGGAGCCATAAGAGACCAACATTTAGACTTCCTGGAAGAAACAGGTCCCACAACTACCCGCGACGTCACTGCCTACAGGGAAAATGGAAAACTCTGCTCCTCAGCTGACCCGTGTCCGCCCCCCACGGTCAGCAATTCTCACTCTGCTATTAGTGGCCTATGGAGCCTGCCTGTCCCCAGGAGCTAGACAACATGACACTGTGGGCCATAGATTTTTATTTGTGATGTGGTGAATTAACAGATTCACACCTTCTTCCCAGACAGAATTGATGTGGCTGGACTTTAACCAGAAATAATAACTTCCTGATTATTAGGAGGTGATTCTGAGTGGTTAGCCTGTCCCCTTAGCCCTGAGGTGGGCACCTAGCTCCGACTTTAGTGTTGTGACTGGGCCGCATGATGTCACCAAAATGACCCACGCATACAAAGCAACAGCTAGCCAGGACTTAATCCCTGAGGAAGATGTTACATCCAGGAGTGAAATATCAAGATTCAACCCCCTCAGTTTTGTTAGAAACAATTTAAGATGAAAAATAAAAAAAGCATAAACAACTGTTAGTTGTAACTTTAAGTCCCATTTCAAAGAGGAGAAATCTACAGGACCATGTAAAAATACTGAAAACAGTACTAGACGTCAGTTTTCACACTGCCGTGGACATTTGATTTTTTAAGCTTAGGTCCGCAAGACTTCCCAGGGGTTAGGAGCCTTGGCCTCACCTGGGAGCTCGTTAGAAATGCAGAATTTGAGGCTGGGCACGGTGGCTCACACCTGTAACCCCAGCACTTTGGGAGGCAGAGGCGGGTGGATCACCTGAGGTCAGGAGTTCGAGACCAGCCTGGCCAAAATGACAAAACTCCGTCTCTACTAAAAATATAGAAATTAGTGGGATGTGGTGGTGCGCGCCTGTAATCCCAGCTACGCTACACGGGAGGCTGAGGCAGGAGAATCACTTGAACCCGGGAGGCAGAAGTTGCAGTGGGCCAAAGTCATGCCACTGCACTCCAGCCTGGGCAACAGAGCGAGACTCCATCTCAAAAAAAGAATAAACGCCTCAGGCCCTATGTCATGCGTGCGGAAGTAGCATCTGCATTGGAACCAGGTTCCCAGGGGATACAAGCACCCATGAATACCTTTTACTATTTCACATACTCACCTCGGCAAAGATAAAGACTCTGGTAAGTACACTTTCCATTTAAAGACTGAAACAAGTTATCAATCTCACTAAAGCCAAAAACCTCATAAGAATTTCCAGCTTCTACTATATTGGGAAAAAAAAAAAAAAAAAAAATCGCATCACTTCTTTGGACAGTTCCCAAACTGGCAAGTGGTGACCGTCTAAGCAGGGGACGCTCCCGAAGAGGAAGGTTCTTGCTGAGCCTGCCGTGGCCCAGCAGCCCCCAGGAGAGGGCCCCAGACAACGGCTGCGGCAACTTCCAAAGGAGGCACCGAAGGACTGTGGGGCTGACACCATGTTCTCGGGCCTACGTGGGGACACGCCTCGGGAGCTGCTAGGCTGACTGCACATCGCAGCCTCTGCAGCCCAGGCTGCACGGGAACTCTGGCTACAGGGACGTCCGGGCAGACAGAGCAGCGCGGGCCCAGGCGTCTGCTGCTCTCCACAGCTGGAGCAACAAGGTCAGGACAAGAAAGGCGCTTTGGTACGACGGTCAGACAGCACCAGCAATCTAAAGATGAAGTAATAATGCCATACCTGATCCTGGTGATCAAAGAAGGTGTGAACACAAGTCCTCGTTCCAACGTCCCAAACTTTCACGCTTTTGTCAGAGGAACTATTTTAAAAATGAACAAGTGTCAGAAAACAGTTTCCAGACAGGTCTGAGGTTGGAAGGACTTCAACCGAAAATCCTTGGATGACTCACATTCTCCTAACTTCAGACCCCCCAACCCCTGCACCTCGGTACAGGAAATGGCCAGGCAGCGGCATCACTGGGTGGCTTTCCTTCCTCACAGGGTAGCCACTTTCCTGAAATTCTGATCTGCCCGGCCCTCGTAGTAACTGTTCTCCTGGAGTCTCAGACACAGCCACCTATTTCCAGATGGGAGGGAGGCCCGTGATGAAAACCAAGGCTCTCGGGAGGCCTCCAGAGCACTGTGCAATGCCTGCAAGCTGCCCACCTCCTGCTCTCCGGCTGTCTGGGCCACCCCAGGCCTGACCGACACTGGGATCGATAAACAACATTTGACAAACAGATTTACATATTTTCGGTCACCACTGGGACACAAGTGTACCTTAGAGTAACTCTGGTAGAAGCCTCAATTTATAATGAAAACACTAAGAGTTTAACTGTTTAAAAGAATTCCTTGTTGACTTTTGCTCCAGCAAAGGTCAACTAACCTCACTAAATACAAATTTAAAAAACTGCTGGAAACAAAGGCTACCTGAATAAAGGGTGACGCATCTTTCAATGTTAAGGCCTCTATACAGGAAGACTGCCCTCATCTTCCCAGCATTTTGGAAACCGCTCAGTATCAGTAAGTACCTGGAAACGAAGCGAGTGTCATCGGGACAAAACGCCACGTTCAGCACCCAGGAAGCATGGCCGCTCAGCGTGCCCGCCAAGTTGGCATGTTGTCTGAAACGGGAAAGGTCCAAACCAAGTTGGGACATTAATTTCTAGAGTATAATCACTGAAGTGGAAAGCACATTATTAACTCTCCCAAATGTGCTATCCTTAGAGTGACCACGAATACCCTATCAAAAATGCCCCTTTCAATGAAGTACCATCATGCATTAGAGGCAAATTTTCACAGCAGCATTAACCCATACTGTGTTGATGCCACCAAGAGCCAAGGATAAAACTTGAATAAAATCCTTCGAGCTGAAGCTCAAAATGAACAAAGAACCACACTATAGAGACTTGGCAAGCCAACCCCTAAGATGAGGAAACTGTGGCCCAACGGGCAAGGAAGCCATCTCAGGAGAGGGGCAGGCTCGGCCTCCTGGCTGCACCAGCAGCCCTTCCACGTGGGGCCGGTGCCACCAGTCCAAGGAAAGCATCAAGATGTATCCATCATGACAGATGTGGCTCCGAGAGACCATTTGAACCCCATCAAGAACGAGACAGGTCTACTTACTACAGCCATTTTCATTTTTTTAATAAAAATGAAACCCAATCACCTCCGGCAGGAGAACCACCCTAGGGCCTAACTGAGGTCAGCAACTGTACCCGGGAACACAGATCTCGGCAGAGTGCAGCAGACCTCAGTTAGGGGCCAGGAGGCAGTCTCAGTGGGACACAGTGGGGCCGTGGGAGGGTGGAAAGCCCTGGGCCTTAGTACAAAGATCAGCAGTTTCTAGGGGCTCAGGGCAGGAGGGAGGGATGATGCGGTAGAGCACGGGGTTTTTAGGGCAGTGAAATTATGCCACGTGACACTGGAATTAGTGGTGGCTGCGTCATTATACATTTGTCAAAACTCATAGAATGTACCACACAAAGAGGAAACCCTAATGTAAACTACGGACTTAATAATACATCGATACTGGGTGAAAAAAAGCAGTCTTGGGTCTTCACTCAGTGCCACCTCCTTGGGCGAATCACCACCTCGGCTTGGGTTTCTCACGTGCAGAACTGGGACACGAGTCTGTGCTGCCACCTCACTAGTTGCAGGAGGATCAATAAAACAGCGGCGATGGAAGTACTAAAGTCACAGCCTAAGGAACTGCTGCACTTCCACTGCCTCTTCCACTACCAGGCCAGTACAGCTCTCCAGAGGTATCTCCCCGCTTGGCGGTGGCACCTTCCTTCAGCTCTAATTCCAAAAGCCGCAGTTCGAATTCTATGTCTAGCTGATAACCTTTTGCCATAAAAAGCTGCATTTTAACCAGAAGTGGGCGAGAAGGAGCTGCGTTCCTACTCTGAGGTTTCAAGCCCCAAGCAACCCTCACAGGCCCCTGAAAGGACGCACGCAGACGGTCGGGGTTGCAGTGCGTGCAGGGGGAGGAGGACTGGGCACCCAGGTCTGGGGCTGGAGCAGGATGTGTGCGCGCAGGGGATCAGAACGCCCTTCCGAGGAACAAGGAGCCGGGGCACCCCTGCAGGGAGAGCTGAGCACGGCACCGAGACGCAGCATCAAGAACACAGACTGAACACATTATAGGGGAGACCTCGGGGGTGGGGCGGGGGGGGACCAGAAGGGCTAAAAATGATGGGGGAAAACAAGAAGACAAAGGGGCCTACAGAGGTTTACGAGGATGGCTGGGAATCAAGGAGGGTGATCAACTTGCTTCTATACTCGCAGTCAAGGGCCAAAACCAAAAACGCTCCCAACTAGACAGGTGGCGGGGCGGCTCATACACTGCTCCCTAACTGGGGCAGAGGTGTGAATGCTGGAACAGCCCGATCCTTGAAAATGGATGCTCTAATTTTTTCTTGCTACCAGGGGCCAGCTACAGCCCATGGCTCCATTTCCTCGTCTGTATCTTACTTACCTATCCCAAAGAAATCAGTCAGCTCGCAAAAAGCAGGCTGCCTGAGAAAAAGTAGCAAGTCCCTGATCCTGCCCATGCACGTCCTCCTCCAGGCAGCCCCTGAGGACACACTAAAAATGAGCGCTGAATGGGGGAGGGCCGTCTGGGGAGTCAAGGTGTCCGATGTGACTTGAGCACAGGTCTTGCCAAGGGCTCCTCCCTAGGGTTCCTCGTAACAGTAAGGAGACAAGGTGGGCATCAGCAGCGAGTGAGACCCCTTTAATCTTGACAGGTAACTTACACATCATAGATCTTGATGTAGCCGTCATCTGAAGCAGTGACAAGGAGCTGGGAGTCCGGGGAAAAGGTCAAGGAGCGAATGGGCATGGCGTGGCCTGAAAGTCGTAGAGGCCCTTGTTAATCTGGTGAACCACTGTCTCCTCACTCGACTTCCCACGGACAATGCCCCTTTGCAAAATCATGAGCCACTGAGTTGACCCGCCCAGGTGCTTTAGGCAGAAAAGCAAGAGTTCTGGCTGGGCCCTTCCTCTTAAGTGTTCTCAAAGCCTCCACACCCCCCAGTCTCTCCTCCTGGAGCCATTTCTCCTTAGCGCCCTTCGCTGCCCGCAGCGTGCACTGCTTTAAAGAGCTGCTCTGCTATAATATGGCCCCCGAAGGAAATATACATCGCTCCTGATTTGTAAGGTTGAACAAATTAAGAAGTTCTTTCCCTACCAAATCCTTTATTATAGAGTAAAGGGTAAACTATAGTAATGTGAGGAGATAATACATTCACTTGATCAGAATTCAAAACAGTGCAAAAGTACATGTAATAAGGTCTCCCTCCGACCCTACTCCTGTTCTTCAGCTACCCAGTCTTCCCTCCAGGGGCCACCAGTGTGGACAGTGGGCACAGTACTTTCATCCACCTTCAAATTAGCAACAAAAAGTTGTTTCCAATCACAAGTTCATCAGAATGCAAAATGACAGAAATGAGACATTCAGAATAGCAAATATATATTAACACACACATATATATAATGTGATATATTACGATATAATAAAAAGTAAGTCTGTTCACCCAAACAAGCATTTAACACTGTTGCAAGAACTGGTAAGTCTAGGCCAAATCTACAGTGACAGGCCAGGTATGGTGGCTCATGTCTGTAATCCTAGCACTTTGGGAGGCCAAAGAGGGAGGATCTCTTGAAGCCAGGACTCAAGAGACCAGTCTGGGAAACACGGCAAGACCCCATCTCTACAAAAAATTTAAAAACTAGCCAGGCGTGCTGGTGTGCACCTGCAGTCCCAGCCACACAGAAGGCTGAGATGGGACAAACCCTTGAGCCCAGGAATTCAAGGCTACAGTGAGCTATGATCGTGCCACTGCACTCCAGCCTGGGAACGAGACCCTGTCTCTGAAAGGGGGAAAAAAAAAAAAAAAAACTACAGTGACCAGACGAAAACCTGGAGGCATTTCAGTTTTCCAACTGAGAGTGATATTTTGTAAATCCAATGCCCGTTTGCCATTTAACGGCATTTTAATGAGAGAATAATGATTCCTTTGTGATTTGATAACCCTGTTTGTAAAAACAAGATGATGAGACATACCTTCCAGTGTATGCAGAAGTTTTCCAGTTGCAATATCAAAAATATTGATGATTCCATCGATGGCTCCACTGGCTAGGTATTTCCCATCAGGACTCTGTTCAGAGGACACAGGGAAAAATCAGCACTTTCAGACTCCACGTTGTTAAGCTGTCCCTACCAAACACGACCAAACCTCCTGCTGGCTACACGTCTAACTGGTTACCTGGCAAACCCCACCACAGAGACAGCAGCTGCCTGACCAGACCAAGGCAGAATCTGTGCCAAGGACTGCAACAGGCTGGAAGGGCAAACGAAAGGAATCAGAAGGAGAAAAGAGAGCAGTGTTTCCTTACGTATGCGATACTAAGAATGAATTTTCCTCTCGTGTCCAAAGAATATTCCTTTTTCCCACTTTCCACACCAAAAATGTTCACTTTCCCAACATGAGTTCCTGTGGCCAGGTACTGGGAATCAGGAGAAAAGGCCAGAGTCCAGGCATCCACTGAACAGAGAAAAGAAGAACGAAAATACAGTGAGGAAAGATTTGGCCTTAATTTTAAAAACTGAAGTTTCACCAAAAGACACATCTTTTAAAATTGGAGTAGCAGTGTCCTGATTCAGAAAATTATGTTGTAAAGATGCTAATTCTTTTATCAAGTTTACATTTAGTTTAAGTGTTTCTGAAATTTATAATGAAAATAGGACAATACCAAGCGTTAGCAAGGATGTGGAGAAATCAGAACCTTCAGACGCCACTGGGAACGTGAGATGAGATGGCACAGCCACTTTGAAAACCAGTTTGACCATTTCTCAAGTGAAAGCAAACACTTACCATAACGCCCAGCAATTCTACTCCTAGGTAACCACCCCAAAGAAACGCAAACTTATGTCCACACACACTGGTACACTCACGGCCTTTGCTTCCTCCAGGATTTGGGATTGTCTCTCTTCTCCTTTTCTCTTCCTGTGTTGTGGTTCACATTCCCCATGCATATTTTCAAGATAGGTCGAAACTAAGTGTCCATTTTCCCTACATTCATTAGACCCAAACTCATCCAAGGAGCTTTCACCTTCAGATGAATTTAGCTGCTCTTCAGCTGTCGATGGCAATGCTTGCTTTTGCTACAGGGACCAGATACCTGTTGGCTGTTTAGTGGCCTTGGTCTAGTTTTATGCAGAGTCCTATCCAAAAAACTCAATCGAATCAATCAAACTTTCAGACTCCATGCTGCTATCTTTATCTTTTTGAGATGGAGTCTTACTCTTAGCCCAGACCAGAGTGTGGTGGCGTGATCTTGAGTTCAAGCGATTCTCCTGCCTCAGCCTCCCAAGCAGCTGCGACTATAGGCGCATACCACTACACCCAGCTAATTTTTTGTAGTTTTTAGTAGAGATGGGGCTTCACCATGTTGGCCAGGCTGATCTTGAACTCCTGACCTCAAGTGATCCAACCGCCTCAGCCTCCCAAAGAGCTGGGATTACAGTAGTGAGCCACCGTGCCCAGCCTCTTCTATCTTTTTCTTTCATAAGAGTAACTTTTAAAACGTTGCCACACTTGGAGAATATCCAGTAAAAGGTACTGTTTGGCAGGGAAAGTGAGCTGGCTGTATAAACCATCCTTTTACTTGGTACCATTCCAGCACTTCAGCTGCCTTTGGCCCAGGACTGCAACCAGCATGCAATGACACCAGCATACGAGCCCTAGGGAAGCTTAGTGCCCAAGGTGAAAAGGTAGAAACAGTTCTACCTCTTCCTCTTTTCTTAAGACCCTGCTTACATATTAGAGTCTTAATAGACTTTGCAGGATAGTTTGGGGACCCAAGTCCTCTGTAAATAATGTAAGCAGGGTAAGGGTGCATGTCAAGACAAGCATCTGGGGAGCCAGAGTGCATCTGGGTAGCGTCTTCCAAATACATATCCCACACCATGTATTCTGAACGCTACGATTCAGTGGATCCAAAATAGGGACTGGGCGTGCGTATTCTTAAAAAAGGTCCAGTGCTAAGAATTACAGACAAGAAATATTGCTTCTGAGGGAAAATGCACTCAGTTTTGAGACAACCCAGCCTCTCTGAAAATCCTGGGACTATCACTCTTTCTAGGAACAGCCTAGAGTGGCTACTGAGTATAACTGGTGGGAGGCGAATCCATCCAGGGCACCAATCAAGGGAACTGTCTTCATGCAACACCTAAGCAATTCTTCTGTCATCCACCCACAAAGGGCTGTGCCAGAGAGATGCCAGGCCACGTGCAACCTCTAGCAGTTACCACCACCCATTCTGGCAGAACAGGTTCTGCTGGTGAATGCTGTGCAGCCATTTATAAGTAAATCTGAAGCTCAAAAGAACCCTGAAATGTCTTGCTGTTCCACGTTAATCAGCCTACTGACATCATCAGCTTCTGTCATCTCCAATGATGTTTATCAAGGCTGCTGGACAAGAGTATGCTGTTGTGCAGTACTTATAACAAAATCGATGTTTTTAGAAGTTTCATACACATCACATACCACGAATCACACCCTTTAACCAAATTTAGTAGGGACGAGCAATACACAGATCTGTAAGGACCCAGTGCTTTACATTCTAGGCTTCCATAAGGCAGTGAATGGAGCAGTTCAGAATATGGCAAACAGAGAATCTCTGGTAAATACAAAATACAGGTCAACAACCCCAAACCAGCAGTTTTAAAATCCAAAAAGCTCTAGAAACCACAGGCTTTTCCATAGGTTCACTACCAAAAGTCATTTGGCAGCAAAACTTAAGCTGAAGTGACATAGACTATTTATATCCTTTATTTATCTCACATAGTGAGAACACTCATGTTTAGCTGCAGACGTATTCGTGTTTCATTAGAGTGCTGTTTCCAGCCCCCAGAATTGTAGGTGATATACAGTTCACACACCCATTATCACCCCTCTCAACTCCAAAAAATTCTGAGCTGTAAAACAACACATCTATCCCTAAAGATTTTGGAAAAGAAATCATGAACCTTTATCATCTCCCCTAAAAGTAAAGCTCTTACCAGGTCCTGCATCTATGGACTTTATCTGTTTGCCATTTTCCAAGTCCCAAAGACGAATATGAGCATCAAGAGAACTGGATGCAGCAATGGGCAGGGTGTGGCTGATGTCCACAGACACCACTCCCAGCTGATGTCCCTCCAGACTCCACTGCAGGTCCAGCCTCTCATCACGCCTTCAACAGGGGACAGAGAAATGAACACACTTTACCTGGCATCTGAAATTCTGGGTCCCTGTGACTATGTGATACCAATGGTCTACGAAACACAGAATCAGAGAAGAATCAATGAGCTACAGAGCACCAAATGCTGCCAGGTTTTAAATGTAGGGCTAAGATTTTTTTTTTTTTTTTAAAGACGGGGTTTCACCACATTAGTCAGGCTGGTCTTGAACTCCTGACCTCAGGTGATCCGCCCGCCTTGGCTTCCTAAGTGTTTGGATTACAGGCGTGAGCCACCACGCCCGGCCTAAGATTTTTTTTTAAACTTTAAGGCTTTAATATGGAGTAACAGGAAAACAAGTGGGAAAACCAGCTGCTGTTTTATAACGCCATATTGCTATTGCTTTCTTGCCTAGAAAAAAGTATTTCCCGGACTGCAGCTGAAGAATTCAGAGGTGAAACCACAGCCCCCAATTTTCCGAGGCTCTGTGTGTTAGGGGAGAGGCACTCACCATTTCCAGACCTTTACTAGGTCGTCCAGGGAGCCTGTGACCACCGTCTCAGAGTTCTCCTTCTTGTTTGTCCCCCAGGCGACTGACCAAATGGCATCATCATGAGCTAGAATGCAAAGTGCTTCACTGATAAAGTCTTCATGCATACGCCTTCTAAATTTAATGTGATAAAATGAAGCTGAAATACTGTTCAACAATTGTGAGGTAACATTTATTGGTATTTGCTTTACTATTTTACAAAGCGCTTTCCTATACAGCTTGGATTGAAATGTTGGGGCCTCATGTGAAAAACGGAGTTTCTGAAGAAGCCACTTGCCGTAAATCTCACGTTTACCAGGCAGGAAGGCAGTACTTTGGACCCCAAACCCAGTGTTCTTTCTTTTAGCATGCTATCTGGCATACAGGAGTCCGGAATGGCTATCACTTGGCTAAAACAAGTAAAACCACTGGGAAGGCCCCCTCCTACCAAGAAAAGACCTAAACTCAGTAACAGATACACCTAAAGATCTTTGGAAACAAGCAGGAAGCTCAACTCTAAACAGTCTATAGTCTAAAAGAAAATACCTACTGTAGCCTCCGTCTCTGAAGTTGCCTTTCCCCACACGTATCTGTTACGGTTAATGGGCCAAATAGTACTGGTACTACTAATATCCTTATTTTACAGACAAGGAATGAGTGGCGCTAGGACTCGAATCCAATCTCTATCAGTTGAAGTCTGCCTTAAATCTAAGTCTGTGAGCTGCACGTTTGGTAGGCCACGCTGTTTATGTGCAGACCCAGCGTGGACGTAAAAACGTGACGAGGGCACACGGAGGCTTTACCCTGCCTGGCAACACTCCTCCGGCCACACCTTCCCAACAAGTAGAAAGGCATTAAACATCAACAGCTGTGCGTCACCCACAGAGCTGTGGCTTCCACTTAAACCCCGCCTACCTCAAGCCTGCTAACTTGCCACCCGGATGGCAACAGCTGCAAATGTTATCTGTGATAACGTCATACAAAGCTGTTTAGCATATGTAGCTGCAGGTCATCGAGGCTACAGTGAAGAAATGAGATGTGTGAGTAGCCCATACACAAACGTGACTCCTTTTCGGGTACCAAGCTCTGTACCACGGTCAGCTACAATCCTAGCCCGGATTCTGACCTGCCACCTGCTCTGCCCTCCCTGCCACTGCCACTGCTGCACAGCTCCCAGCCCTCCCGGGGCACTCAGGCCTCAAGAGAAATTCATCTCACTATGAGAGGCTTCACTTTCGTTTAGGGTCAAAGCAAGTTCTGAGTTCAGGAACAGACTCAGGTACGCCTCCCCTGATGGGCCAGCACTAACAGAGTTTTGGGGCTCAAAGCATTTCCTTTTTCGACCTCGGCAGCGGGGAAGCTCGGTCAGGTCTTCCTCAGGTGGGAAAATTTTCCTCCACACCTGGAATTCTCCAACTTATCACAATGACTGTCTTTTTTTTTTTTTTTTTTTTCTTTGAGACAGAGTTTCGCTCTTGTTACCCAGGCTGGAGTGCAATGGCGCGATCTCGGCTCACCGCAACCTCCGCCTCCTGGGTTCAGGCAGTTCTCCTGCCTCAGCCTCCTGAGTAGCTGGGATTACAGGCACGCACCACCATGCCCAGCTCATTTTTTGTATTTTTAATAGAGACGGGGTTTCACCATGTTGACCAGGATGGTCTCGATCTCCTGACCTCGTGATCCACCCGCCTCGGCCTCCCAAAGTGCTGGGATTACAGGCGTGAGGCACCGCGCCTGGCCTTTTTTTTTTTTTTAAGTTGGTTGTTAGGCTTTTGCTGTCGTTTGTTTGTTTTTAAGAGTACTTATTTTCAGCTGCCAATTCTTCTGCAAAGTGAGTGTACTTGGAAACTACATGTCTGGTCATCTTGACAAAAATCTTACAGAAACCAGGGACGACACAGTTTTTTTCCACAGATGACCTGCTTAAACAGGCAGGCTACTCACCTTGCTCTTGTTTGAAGAGAATACCATACTGAAAAAGAACAGAAGCCACATTCAACCCACGGTCAGATTTCAGACGTCTCCCGGTGCCTCCTCCCCAAGCAGACGGGGGCACTACAGTGTCAGCTGCTTCCTCTGCTGTCGCCCCGGCCATCCTACAAGCCCCTCCATTCCCACTGAGGCACGATTTGCATAGTCACATCAGAACCAAATTCTTAAACAAACTGTTACTCTCCCCTTCCCACTACCCACACTCACCCGACAGAGACCAAGAAATTCTGGTTTGTTTTTCTGCTCTGATCATCCAGGAAGCTCAGAGTCCAGTTTGCAGCTTATGTTTTGCAGAATAGTTGGCCTATTTCCTTTGTCCCTCATCTTATTACAAAGGTATGTTTCTCCTGTTCTATCTCCTATCCTAATCTTTTTTTTTTTTTTTAACAACATCTTTTTCTTTTCTTTTTTTTTTTTTTTGAGACGGAGTTTCACTCTTGTTACCCAGGCTGGAGTGCAATGGCGCGATCTCGGCTCACCGCAACCTCCGCCTCCTGGGTTCAGGCAATTCTCCTGCCTCAGCCTCCTGAGTAGCTGGGATTACAGGCACATGCCACCACACCCAGCTAGTTTTTTGTATTTTTAGTAGAGACGGGGTTTCACCATGTTGACCAGGATGGTCTCGATCTCTCAACCTCGTGATCCACCCGCCTCGGCCTCCCAAAGTGCTGGGATTACAGGCTTGAGCCACCGCGCCCGGCCTTTCTTTTTTTTTTTTTGAGACAGAGTCTCACTGTGTCACCCAGGCTGGAGTGCAGTGGCGTGATTTCGGCTCACTGCAACCTCTGCCTCCCAGGGTCAAGCAATTCTTAGCCTCAGCCTCCCAAGTAGCTGGGACTATAGGTGCCTGGCACCACACCCAGATAATTTTTGTATTTTTAGTAGAGATGGGGTTTCACCATCTTGGCCAGGCTGGTCTTGAACTCCTGACCTTGTGATCCACCTGCCTTGGCCTCCCAAAGTGCTGGGATTACAGGTGTGAGCCACTGCACCCAGCCTGTACCTCTTTTAAGCTTCTTCTATTACTCACTAAACTGCAGTCAAGACCTAGATGAACCAACCCTCCTCTTAGTGTTTGCATTTTACTAGTCCCACCTAACACTGTGGTGACTAGTGACCCAGGGTCATCCAGCTCTTCAGGAGCAGGGTAAGAACGAGATGCTAGTTTCTTGACTACACACCCAGAAAAGCTACTGAACTTGAACTTGGCAAGGAGACCAGCTGATGTTCTTCCCTTCAACACAGGCCTTACCTGGTTGGTCATTTCCTTAACCAAGGATCGAGGGCAAAAGGCCAGACAGCTCTGTGGAAACAACACCAGGATTTCAGTAAAGCGTGGCATCAGGAGACAAGGGCCTATATGTAGTTCCCCTCGACCAAGAAAATAAGGCAACTCCTTATTATGAAGTTGCTCTGACACTCTTCTGTGGGTCGGTACCAGGAACCCCCTTCACCATCCCTACCAGGTGCTATGACCTTTCCTTCCTCTGAACCTACGGACTCTATTAGCACCTACTCCCATCCCATGGTTTCTTCACCTCAAATGTCACTGCAGAAAGTGACCAGTCTCTGTCCCTTGCTGCTCTTTAGAGAGGAAAAAAAACACAGTTCCTTGTAATAACAAATATTATCTATTCAAAACAAACATGGGGGAATTCAAAGATGGCAAAGTTCTTAACCAAAAATGCCTTTAGGAGCCAAAAGGCAGATAAATAAGGGCAAAGGTTGGAGGGAGATAGTGACCATGCTGGCCCAAATGGCAAAACCCCATCTCTAACAAAAACACAAAAACTAACTGGGTGTGCTGGTGCATGCCTGCAGTCCCAGCTACTCAAGAAGCTGAGGCACGGGAATCGCTTGAACCCGGGAGCCAGAGATTGCAGTGAGTCGAGATCATGCCACTGCACTCCAGCCCAGGCGAAAGAGCAAGACTCTGTCTCAAAAAAAAAGAATAATTTCTCAGGCTACATTAAGGGCTAAGGGTTCTTGTGTTCTGTGTGTGCCACAGACTCCCTTTAGCGGCCTTTTTTGTTTTTGAGATAGGGTTTAGCTTTACCCAGACTGGAGTGCAGTGGTGCAATCATGGCTCACTGCAGCTTCAACCTCCCGTGCCAAGTGCTCCTCCCACCTTAGACCCTGAGTGGCTGGGATGACAGGTGTGTGCCACCACATCTGGTTATTTTCATTTTTTGTAGAGATGGGGTCTCCCTATGTGGCCTAGGCTGGTCTTGAGCTCCTGAGCTCAAGAGATCCTCCTGTCTTGGCCTTCCAAAGTGCTGGGATTACAGGTGCAAGCCACCACACTTAGGCTCAGAATGTCCTTAAACACAGAAAATACACAGGATCAGAAATGAAACCAAGTACAGGAGATTCTCATTATTCACAACAATTATGTTCTATGACGTCACTACAAACACGAAATTATCCAACAGAGAACCACTGTTCCTTGGGGAAACAGGTTTCTGAAAGCCTCTGGGCACATTTTTGTCAACCAGTCAATCCATAATCATGTTTCATGTGTGTTTCTGTTTAAAGGCACTTACTGACTATGCATTAGTAATTCATTAATACTGATCTCATGGCTAAACAACGCTTATCTAACACACGCTTTCTCCATAAGACACATCGCAGCCTTCCTGAGCTTACAAGCACTTCGGCATCAGGCTTGGTGCGATCTCAAACAGTGGCATCGCCAACAAAAAGCACCAAGAGGAGAAAAGCGTGGCACCAAAGACAGCGAAAATGACATCTGCTCACAACATGAGAGCTGACAGGAAGGCAGCGCCGCCTCGTCTGACCTCAGCTGAGAACACGGGCATCAGGCGACTGCAATGTTTCACCCCATGTGAAAAAGCGTCATGTCTTCCAAAGACCACAAAAGCGCTGCAAGTATTCATTTGGGGGCTACATACAAATTTTAGTGAGTAGGTGAATTCATAAATACAGAATCCACAAATAATGAGGATAGACTGTATGCTAAAATGTTATCAAAGTACAAAAACTAACATGTGTGCTTTATTGACACATTGAGATCTAGAAGCAAATCTAGTAACTACCACAATTTCAAAGTCGTGATGAGCTTACACAGAATCATGAGATGTGAAAATATCTGGAATTTACATTTATAGCAAAGTCACACTGCTAATACTGTGATTTATGGCCTACATTCATAGTGGAAGAAAATGCTGAATTTCATTTGGAGGTTAGGAAACATAAAGATGCAATTTTCATCTCCTCCAAGTTCATGCCCCTCACTTCTACCCACTGGCAGTTTAAGGGACCGTACAGTTAAGGCATCCAGGTTCCAGCTACTTTCTTTAAATGTGCCAGCCCAAAAAGCTGCCGCAGGTTTGTCAATAACAGAAAATCAAACTAACAAACCATTTATAACTAATCCTTGCCTATGAAGATCTCACATTGGTAGTATTTTGTTTTGGGTTTGGTTTTGTAAAGACAGGGTCTCATTACGTTGCCCAGGCTGCTATCGAACTCCCGGCCTCAAGCAATCCTCTTGCCTGGGCCTTCCAAAGTGCTGGGATTACAGACAGGTTGGTAGAGCTTTACTCATTTGTGACCCATGAACAGGGTTCTTTCTGTCCAGGGCAGAAAAGACAGGAAAGAGCTCAAGCTAGTTGGGCTAATGTGAATGGTATTCAACCTCTGTTTGCACACAGCCTTCTGCCTGCTGCAGCACATGCTTGTCCTCTTCCCCACCCTTCTGGGCCTCACATTTAGCAACGGACAGAAACAAAAAAAAGGAGGAAGACTTGCAGTAAGCCAAGCCAACTTCCAAAAAGCCAGGCTCCACAAGACAAGGGTGTCATTCTACCAAGGCGTGCACCCTTGAGGGGGTACAACGAACCCAGTCCTATTTGAAGTCAGACACTGAGATTAGCTCCCTGAAACCTCCTAACCCCACTTACTAGGTACAGGAGTTCTACTTTAGCTGAGGTTTGGATTTTCCCAGTTCCAGATGTCAACCGTAGTCTAAAAATAGGCGAGCATAGTTAAGATATTTTGAGAGAGACTACATTCACATAAACTGTATTACATTACATTGTCATAATTCTATTTTATTATTGTTAATCTCTTACTGTGCCTAATTTACGAATTAAACTAAATATCATAGGTATGTATGTGTAACCTGTACAAGAAAAAACACAGTAGCAAAGACCTGGAACCAACCCCAATGCCCATCAATGATAGACTGGATAAAGAAAATGTGGCACACATACACCATGGAATACTATGCAGCCATAAAAAATCATGAGTTCGTGTCCTTTGCAGGGACATGGATGAAGCTGGAAACCATCATTCTCAGCAAACTGACACAAGAACAGAAAACCAAATACCGCACGGTCTCACTCATAAGTGGGTGTTGAGCAATGAGAACACGTGGACACGGGGAGAGGAACATCACACACTGTGGCCTGTTGGGGGGTGGGGGTTCTAGGGGAGGGATAGTAGGGGGCGGGGAGATTGGGGAGGGACAGCGTTAGGAGAAATACCTAATGTAGGTGACGGGGGGATGGATGCAGCCAACAGCGATGGCATGTGTACACCTATGTAACAATCCTGCACAATCTGCACGTGTACCCCAGAACTTCAAGTATAATAAAAAAGAAAGAACAAACACAGTATAGATGCTCCTCAACTTACAATGGGGGTGCTTCCCAATAAACCTCTGTAAAGCTGAAAAATTGTAAGTCAAAGCACAGTAAGTCGGTCAGGGTCCTTCTGCAGATATACGTAGGGTTCTGTACGACCCAAGACTTCAGACATCCACTGGGGGTCTTGGAATGCACACCCCTCAGCTAGGGGAACGACTATTTTCTTATGATCAGTTCCACTTCTCTAGTAAGAATGGATACAAGCTATAGTACAGGCAACCAAGACACACTGCCTCTTCCTTCAGGGTCTGACGAAGGTCAGAACTAAGAGACTTTAGACCTCAGCCCTCTCTTGCCATCTTCTCTCTCTGGGACACTTTCCCCTCGTTTTCCCAGACGGAATTAATCCCTGGCTCAGTGTTTCCCAGGAGCACTGCAGACGCCTCTGTGGACCTGCTCGGGCCAGTCCACAGCCCACGGTGCTGCGCGGTACCTGGGGTGAAGGAACCCGGCCTCTGTCTGCACCGGCCCAGCGCGCCCCCTGAGACGACGGCGTGGCCACTGCTGGGACACCGGCTCATCCAGTCCTCCCACCCACGGATAAACGATCTCCTCCGCAGACACACCAGCCCTAAGCTCGGCGCCGTCCAGAACATTCTCAGGACGCAAAACGGGGCCACCTACGGGCCTCCCCCTCTCCGCTCAGGCCCCGCAGAGAGGGGCAGCCGGGGCCAGTGGGATCACGGAAGCCCCCCTAGGGTCCCGGGGCCTGGAGCGTCCCTGAACAGACCTGTTTGCAGGCAGCCTCGGACCCAACCTTGCTCACCCGCCCTCTGGCCCGGGCCGTCAGCGGCCCTAAAGGCCGCCATCCCCAACCGCCGCGGGCTCTAACTCACCACGGCACCGCCAGGACGCACGTCGGAAGCCGGGCTCCGCGCGACTGCGACGCGCAAAGATGAGCTCACGGGGGGGCGGGGCATCGCGCCGGCCCCGCCCTCAAGGCGTGGAGCCCGTCGCAGCGCCCCCGCCCTCCCTGGGCGGGGCGCGGGGGCAGACGCGGAGGAGGGTGGGCGGAGACAGGAGCGGGAAGCCACGCCCCGTTTCCAGAGGCGTGGTCGCCCGACGCTCGCGGAATTGCAGGCCTGTAGCTTCTGACCACTGCAGGGTTAGGGGCTCGCGTTGCAGCTTCCTTTTGTACTTTTGAGATTGGACTAAAGGTAATGACTTCTGTTGCTAAAATAAATTCACTGAAATCGAGCTTTGCCTTTCAAACTGCTGGTCATGACCCATTCGCGTGACAGACATCAGTTTAATAGGTTGTCACTGGCATTTTTTTTTTTTTTTTTTTTTTTTGAGGGCCGGGCGGGGTGGCTCAAGCCTGTAGTCCCAGCGCTTTGGGAGCCCAGGTGAGAGGATCGCTTGAGCTCAAGATTTCCAGACCAGCTAAGGCATCATAGCAAGACCTCGTGTCTACAAAGATTAAAACAATTAGCATGTGCCTGCAGTTTCCGTTACTTGGGAGGCTGAGGCAGGAGGATCGCTTGAGCCCTGGAGGTTGAGGCTCCATTAAGCCGTGATCACACCACAGCACTCCAGCCTGGGGGGCAGAGCTAGACCCCATCTCAAAAAAAAAAAAAAAAAAAAAAAAAAGAGATGGAGCCGGGTGGAGTGGCTCACGCCTGAAATCCTAGCACTTTGGGAGTGGAAGGAAGGTGGGTGGGACACTTGAGGTCAGGAGTTTGAAACTAGCCTGGCCAACATGGTGAAACTTCGTCTCTAGTAAAGCAAAAACAAAATTAGCCGGGCATGGTGGTACGTGCTTGTAATCCTAGCGACTCAGAAGGCTGAGGCAGGAGTATTGCTTGAACCCAGGAGGCAGAAGTTGCAGTGAGCCTAGATCATGCCACTGCACTCCAGCCTGGGCAAGAGAGCGAGACTCCGCCTCAAACAACCACAAAAACAGATGGGAAGAGGCCCATGCCCCATTATGAAGAGGCTGCCCTTGCAGCTCAGGTGAGGTGGCTCACTCCTGTGATCCCAGCACTGTGGGAGGCTAAGGTGGGAGGATTGCTTCAGGCCAGGATTTCAAGACCAGTTTGGACAACATAGTGAGACCCAATCTCTACAAAAGAATTTAAAGTTATAGACACGGTGGTGTGCATGTGTAGACCCAGCTACTCAGGACACAGAAGTGAGGATCACTTGAATTGAGCCCAGGAGTGTGAGGCTGCAGTGAGCTATGATTGGATGATTGGGCCACTGCCCTCTAGCCTGGGTGACAGAGTGAGACCCTGGCCCTAAAAATACTTTTTGAAGAAACTGGTTTTGAAGTCTATCTATCTATCTATCTATCTATCTATCTATCTATCTATCTATCTATATTTTTAGACGGAGTCTCACTCTGTTGCCTAAGCTGGAGTGCAGTGGCTCAATCTCGGCTCAGTGCAAATTCCACCACCTCCCAGGTTCAAGCAATCCTCCTGCCTCAGCCTCCTGAGTAGCTGGGATAATGGGTACACACCACCATGCCTGGCTAATTTTTGTATTTTTAGTAGAGATGAGGTTTCATCATATTAGCCAGGCTGATCTCAAACTCCTGATCTCAAATGTCCACCCGCCCTGGCCTCCCAAAGTGCTGGGATTACAGGTGTGAGCCACCACACCCAGACAAAGATATTGTAGTAGAAGGTGATAGTAGTAAACTGTGGTCTCGGTTGAAGTATCTGGGTCCTGCCTATATCTTTCTGGCAGATAATGCTTTACAAGATATAGTTTATGCCGGGCGCGGTGGCTCAAGCCTGTAATCCCAGCACTTTGGGAGGCCGAGGCGGGTGGATCACGAGGTCAAGAGATCGAGACCATCCCGGTCAACATGGTGAAACCCCGTCTCTACTAAAAATACAAAAAACTAGCTGGGCATGGTGGCGCGTGCCTGTAATCCCAGCTACTCAGGAGGCTGAGGCAGGAGAATTGCCTGAACCCAGGAGGCGGAGGTTGCGGTGAGCCGAGATCGCGCCATTGCACTCCAGCCTGGGTAACAAGAGCGAAACTCCGTCTCAAAAAAAAAAAAAAAAAAAAAAAAAAAAAAAAAAAAAAAAAGATATAGTTTATTAGGATCATCTTGAGGTCTATGGTAATTTTAGAAGACTGTTAGACTACTAGATGAAGTTCATCGTTGGGGGATTTTTTTTTTTTTTTTTTTTTTTTTTTTTTTTTTTGAGACAGAATCTCACTGTGTCACCCAGGCTGGAGTGCAGTGGTGCAATCTTGGTTCTCTACAACCTCCACCTCCTGGATTCAAGCGATTCTCCTGCCTTGGCCTTCCTAGTAACTGGGATTACAGGCACACACCACCACACCCTACTAATTTGTGGTAGAGACAGGGTTTAACCATGTTGGCCAGGCTGGTCTCAAACTCTTGACCTCAGGTGATCCACCTGCCTCGGCCTCCCAAGGTTCTGAATTTATAGGCGTGAGCCACTGCACCTGGCCATCTTTGGGGAGCTTTTTAAGGAGGCTGTGTGTGGCCAGAAATTGGCAAATACACCCACATGCCCTAAGACCCACATGGTCCTCGGTAATCTCACATTAACACAAAGGAAAAGACACCCTGCAGCTCTTCTGCTGCGCACACAACTTCCCCGCACGCCAGCATCCTTAACCCTTAGTCGGCATGTCTCAGAGTGATGTGACTAATTTTTCTCACTCACATTGACTGGAGAGCCATTTCCCTCCTTCCCAGCTCTGTGACATCTCTGTCCACAGAAATTTCATCTGGCCCAGGTGGACCCTCAGCATGTTACTGGCCAACATGGTGAAACCCCGTCTCTACTAAAAATACAAAAATCAGCTGGGTGTGGGGGTGCACACCTGTAGTCCCAGCTACTCAGGAGGCTGAGGCAAGAGAATCACTTGAACCTGGGAGGTGGAGGTTGCAGTGAGCCGAGATCAGTGCCACTGCTACTTCAGCCTGGGTGAAAAAGCAAGACTCTGTCTCAAAAAATAAAAATAAAAAATAAAAAAGTTTGGGTCAATGAGCAGACTTCAAGACTGTATTGTCAAAATTCTTATGTGGCATATCCTGTAAGTCAAGATATCCTTGTAACCGTTCTGGATCTATTGGACCAGGGGCATGTGCCCCTGAAGCTAAGGAAGAAGGTACAAATTATATCATGAAGCCAGCGAGCTGCTTTTCAAACTGGAGGGAATTCCCTTTAAATTGACTTAAGTGCTGACTGGTGTTTGGGTACATTCCACAGAGCTACATACACAGAAACTGCCCCTGCATTGGTTGGATGCTGGTTCCCGAAGGGCAGAAAGGACTTAACACCGGTACGACAAAGCAATGGCCTTCAGTGGTTAAGTGACCTGCTGCCTTCCTGAATAACCAGTTGTCTTGGTTTTGACCAATCTGTTGCCTTGCTTTTGCTGGTGACATTTACGGGGTTTTATGGTTTGGGAAATCGATTGATTATTATGTAATGTCTCCCACACCAAGGTAACTGGGCCATCTTCACTCTACCTTTTAGCTTTTGAATATGAAGGCATGTGTTTGAAACTCTCCCACTTTAAGAATGGTGAAATTTTGGCTGTGGAAAGTGCTCACAACTGTATGACTAAGGGAATTTTAATTTGTGTGCTGTGGACTTATGTGAGGATTTTTTTCTTTTTACACATTGACCATAAATACCCTACCTTCGAATTATTCTGAAAGCAAACTGATCACTTCCTTTAATGCTTTTTAAATTGTAAATGTTAATTCAATTTAGAATAATTAGGCCAAATACTGAGGATTTCCCCTTCTGTTTACTTGCTCCCAAATCTACTACTAATTTCCAATTGAAGCAAGTTGTTTTGGATAAAAATTCAGTTAATCATCTCAAAAAAGAGAAATGGAATACATTAAGAAAAAAGTAGAAGCTGTAACAGTGCATCATATGTAGTAAAGTTACATCATGTTTTATAAAAACTGTTTCACCAAAACGGTTACTGGTTCACAAATGAAAATCCATTTCTTGCTATGAGTCATGGCCAAAAACTTTGAAAATCATTGTGATAACGACTTTCCAGATTTATAATTCTATAATTATGACAAGAACTCCAAACCATTCATTCAAAAAGGATGCATTAAGTACCTACCTCCACCCCATTCCCCCAAAGTGCCAGGCACATGGGATTGTTGGCATGACCTTAGCATTGGGACTGTAAAGCTAGAATGATTGGCCTTTTTTACACTGTGAACATCTCAGGCATCTCATGAAACCTATGAATCCTGTCTCAGAAAAATGGGAGTTTTTTTGGAAGAAAAAAACTTTAATTGCTGTGGAGAAAAGCATCCGTCTTGGTTTCGACAGCACTTGTTAGAGAATACCTTCCAGGAAGTGGAGGTAACTGGATGTAAGCGTGATTAGAATACACAAACACAGAAGACAGCTTTCACGCCAGGCATGCCACTCCTCGACGCAGTGCAAAATGCTTACACTACTGATGGCAGTCGCTGCTGCCATCACGGGGCTGCGGCAGGGAGGCACAGCTGGGCTGCACGCTCCACGGAGCGGGTAGGTGCCTTGCCCCTTCTGAGCTGGGGCGAGAGCCCCCCGCCCGGTGCTGCTGCAGCCGCCCAAAGTGCGGGGGCAGACCCAGGCCCCCTGCTCCACCGAGCAGGCAGGAGCCCCACCCTCCTGGGCGTGGCTACGGCCCAAACTGCGACCCCACCCTCCTGGGCGTGGCTACAGCCCAAACTGCGACCCCACCCTCCTGGGCGTGGCTACAGCCCAAACTGCGGCCCCACCCTCCTGGGCGTGGCTACAACCCAAACGGCGGCCCCACCCTCCTGGGCGTGGCTACAGCCCAAACTGCGGCCCCACCCTCCTGGGCGTGGCTACAACCCAAACGGCGGCCCCACCCTCCTGGGCGTGGCTACAGCCCAAACTGCGACCCCACCCTTCTGGGCGTGGCTACAGCCCAAACTGCGGCCCCACCCTCCTGGGCGTGGCTACAGCCCAAACTGCGGCCCCACCCTCCTGGGCGTGGCTACAGCCCAAACGGCGGCCCC